CATTTCACGCCGCTATTCGCGATGAAGCAAAACAAACTAGATGTTTAATATACAAGTGTCAAAAGAAAACAAAGAAAATATAAGGCAAACAATGATTCTCAAACCTCTGATATTAAGATTTCATTTCTGCGATCCTATCTTAAAGACATCGTCTTCTTCCTTTCCTATAGAATCTTCTTTTCTTAAACGGCACGTTAATGATAAAACCCGGAAAAGCTCTGAAATAATATAGCTACAAGGTCCGAAGTTTTGTTTTTAATCTTATTTTTATGCGCCTGTTTCTAGACTTAGCAGTGAAATGTTGTTATCGCATGCATAGAACGTAATACAGTTTTCCTTCTAAATATAAGCATTAATTATATCATAAACCCAGTGGTCAGTGACCTGACATTATAAGCATCACGAGTTCCTGCAGGTTGGCTACCGTACTCACCTATATAGCGTGGTCGATCTAGGCAGCTTAGTAAGCAACAACGACGGGCGACAGTTACAAAAACGTCACTCAAAAGTGAATTCGCGCTGCTTCAATCTTTATCGGGCATATTCCATCTCCTTCAATTCGTCAAATGGTGGCAAATTTTTCTAGAGTTGAATTCTAAAAGACTGTATCAAAGTTCAGGAATAGAAAAAGAAAGACGTTGTCCTGTGTTCACGTCCTCGACAAAACGTGAAATAAGGCACTTTCACATCAGTTGTAGTCGTGCTCCGACGGCACTGAAATGTACAAAAAAGCGTGTAGCACGTGCAAAGTTGTTGTTTTGCCAATCTAAACCTATTGCTTTTTTGCCGATCTCGTTGCCGTCGCTGTCGTTGTTGCTTAAACTCCCCAGTGACTAATTAACGGCAGTGACCGAGTTTTGCAAAAATATTAAAACAGAGCCGCAACTTCTTTAACAGATGATTTTTGAGAAGCTTCTGATTAAGACGTGTATAAATTAAATGATTAATATACTTTTTAAAAAAAGAGCGGCCACAAAATACGGAATGAATATTTTAACTGATGAATCAGATAAGACAGCTGTTTTAATTCGTGAAAACAAACGATGCTTCCGTGAATATTTTTATCAAAATTTGGTATAGAATCGAAGATAGTATGGCAGTTGGCATCTATATTAAGACAATTAGGCTACTCGTTCTCCTATTATTAGAGTCAAATAGTCAAGTCGGGGCAACTCGTATAGCATGAACATTGAAAAAAATACGGACAAAAGGGGAGTAACATTCGTCATAAAGCGAGCATCTACACACTACACATGAATGCATGAGCTGCGGGGCCGACTCCCGGCCGGAGTACTTCTTTCCAATTATTTATTTTTTTAACATATTATGCAGGAGAAGTCTTTTCTAAGAGTAACAAACCTCATCGAGAGGGCTCACTTAGTAACTGAGATAAAATTAAAGCGAAGCTTCGCGCGCGGGCCTTCCTGGTTCACGCCCGTAACTAGCAACTCAGTTAAAGATGGTTACTGGAAAGCTGAACCTGCATACCCGACAACAAACCTTTCATTCAATCCAAAGCAATTATCAGGGTTCTTATTAGGTTTTAAAGTAGATAGCTAGGATGTTAAGGTAGACGGCTTGGCAGTTAACTGAGTGCCTGAAGTGCAATTTGAAGCTTTACCCATTTTCCCCCATAAGTAGAAAGCTCAGACTTCTAAGTAGCCGGTTTTTTAGCCGGCTGCCTGCACTTAATGAGAACCCTGGGCAACGAGTATTGTTTTTTTTGTTGTCCTTTCTTTTTCATGCGTATCTGAATTCATAGTTATCGTAAAGGCAGTTTGCTTCTATAGTAATTCATTAAGATTTCCAAAGTTACGGTGAGTATAGGGGTATACATTAGTTTGCATGGTTTAGGTGTTCGGAGGGTGGTCGATGAAGGGCGTAACATACTTTCAACTGTTCTTTGGCTGATAGTAAAAAATGCAATTTAATTTAACGCTCTACAGCATACATTATTGTAATAATTACATTCACTGAACCAAATACTGGAGAAAAAAAACAGTCTTGTTTTCTTTAGAGGATACGTCGGTTATCATATATGAAAGAGAGAGCTTATGTTGTACTAAAATCACAAATAAGCTTCAACAGTGCTGAAAATGGTCTAAAAACAGATATGTAGTTACATTTCTTAGTGAATAGTCTTAAGTATGTCAAATGTGGTGGTCCGGTTTCGTATGGTCCTTGTAACTCCTTATACTTTAAATACCTACACTAAAAATAGTGATCTATAATAGTGCCCTAAAATTGGCATAAATCACTGACCCTCGTGGCTGGCTTAATCTTTGCGTGTGTCCATCCAATATTCCTGCCAAAAAGTACCTGAAGTGGTCGTTCATAATAAATTTTCTATGGATGCTTAGGCCCAGGTCAAATGTCCAACTTCACATGTGATGAACCTAATGCTAATGAACCTGAACAATAGAGCTTGCTTACTAGCGTCAGGCGCATCACATGTAATGTTCGATGCTTGACCGTGGCCGTTCATGAGACACGACAACATCGCCGTCCCGTGGGGCGTGGGTTCTAAGAGAACTGGAAAGGACCTTAAGTTCGGTCTCGTGTGCCTTTGGGATGTACGTGTGAAATCACACGTGAGCAAATGCCACAAAATGATTTGACATCTATTTAGGCCGCTTTTGGTGCCACAGTTTTGATTGCGGCAAATGATTTTAATCACCTGATCCCTCGAAGAAAAATTACTAGTCCTTGTTTAAAAGAGTTTAATGGTACTGTAATTAATCATGACAAATTACTTTTAACCTCTTGGAGTTGTTGCTATTTATATAATCATGATTATAAACGCGTGAACGCAACGCAAAGGATTGAGGGCTGTGCCAGATTACTTTTTAGTTTTGGTGAGAGACATTTGAAAGTAAAGTCTGGAAAGCCAGTTCACTGTGTTTGCTTGTGATAACCCGTCAGGGCATTGGCACACGTATTGGCAATGGACTATGCCTTGAATATAGCTCTATAATTAATGATTACAATCATTTGAACTTCCTGTGAGACGATTTTTGTTACACATAGTTCCAGTTGTTTAATGTATCTCCCAGGCTGGCTCCTTATAGGGATAGAAGACGAAAAAGAACTCATTTCCTCATGGCACTCGATGGTCTTGATGATGTTTTCAGTCCGATAATTGGTATAATTCATTCGAATAAACGTAAATCATTTGATTTATTTTTTCGTGTTACTCTTTCTACGCTTCGCCGATGAATTGTACCTACCACGAAGGTACTCAGAACAGATAGGTCATCATTAGATGCTTGTCCCCATGAAAAGGGCAGAAACTACAGAGACATCATCACAAAACAATGAATAGTCAGGCCAAAATTTGGACAACGCAGTGACCAATCAAAATGGTTTCCCAACATTTAATCGAATTATTAGAAAAGTTTGGGCCATTTGAAATTTTGGAGCCATTCGTAGTTCGTATAACGTGATGATAATGTAGGCAAGTGAGGTAACAAAGATATGCAGTTTTTAGTTTATTTTCTTGTTGGCTAGTCAAGAGCCAACTGAGACTAAGCCGGGCATTTAGTTGGCCTCAGTTGTTTACTCGAGAGTTATCATGCATGTGTTGGACAATGCTTTTTGCAGTTTGCTTTTTTAGCAACGACCCATTCTTCATAGATTTTTACAAGATAGCGGAAAATAAATCAAGTTTTAATACTATACTATAAGCATACCAGTATGCTTAGGCAATAGCCTAATATTGCTTTTAGTTTGACAGAGTGGATGGGGGACAAGAAAAGGCTAACAAGATCATCAAAACAAGAGAACTGCCGTTCGGCCTTCAGGATCAGTTCCAACATTTCCTTGTATCCTGCCACGCCGCATTCCGATACCCACTTAACGTCTGGGCGACTATTTAAAACAGGAAAATAACAAAAGCTTGAGGCGATTCCAATCTTATCATCACTTTGGATTTTAGTTTAATTGCAATATCAAATACTCTTGCTGACAAACAAAATTAGATCACGATATTTTAGTAATTTAGCAACCGGCTCATATGTTAATTCCAAATTCTCCTTAAAGATACTGTTTTTTTTATGAAAGAAAGAAAAAAAAGAATTATTTTCATGCAAATATTACTCATTGACATGTGGTCAGATATGCAAAGTTAACAACTTATCTTACAGCAATGTGAATGAGTCAAGTCTCACGCTATCTGAAAAGGGTGGACAAACAGAGATATGTAGACTTCATCTTTTCTTGTTTTATGACCGATCATTAGAATCCTCTCTAGTCAAGAACAGCTCACCTTGGCTTCCCAGTTCTCCAGTGTTCCGATGTACAAGTAACGTTTTTAGTTCACCACTTTAACTCATTTTACTGAGTCAGCCTAGACAAAAATTGGGCAACTTGCTTGACAGTCAGCAAGCAGAATGATTTCAGTTTGCCCGCTGAGGTTACTTATTAAGACAATATCAAAACACTGATAAATCAGTGGGAAGATATTATGTAAACATTCGTCTTGACTCTCCAGTGGTGAATTCAAACGAATTCTCAATCATTCGCCTTCAAAACAGTGTGATAGTACAAAGGACTTTCATTTTGTCAATTTTCCGATCAAGACGATCATGAAGACATCTAGAAAAGTGAACGAAACGTCAGATAAAACGGAACTCAGTAGCTCGATTCTCCACATTGCTTCATAGGACGATGTGGTTTTCTAGGCGTTTCAACCCTTACATGAACTTGGACATTCACTTCTCAGACGACACCCTTGCTATTTGATAGATCTTGGGTCCTTTTTAGTTCCCTGACACTGATATAATTGAGAAAGAAAAAACAAAATGGCTATTCTCACCTTTGAATTTCTTGCATCTACTGTGTTATAGCTTTCTCCCGTGATGACGTGTTTTTCTGCTTGCTTGACGGCCGGATCCGTGGTTTTCTATTCAGCTTAATTTCCTGTCTATTTTTGAGTGGGCGAGTTCCATGTCGGATCGATGATTATTTTACAGTTACTTAAATCCAAAATTGCAGCGTCGCGACTCTTGTTATGCTACATAATTCTTAAACAATATAGTCAGCTAACCTCAAGAGCCACCTGGATAATTTAGCCGATTACAGTCAACAATTAATATAATAAAACCTCTGGTAGTTGTTTTTACAGGCCTCGAGCGCAAGACGTCAAAGTCACTAGGCTGAGCAGAGTAAATTTCCGCTACTTGCGGGAAGTCCACATTGAATAATATATCTCTACATCACCTTTTTAATTTATGGAAAGTGAATAAAGTTATTCTATTCACGTATTCGCGTGTGGAAATATCTAAAGAAACACACTAAACCCTCAAGAGGTTTTAAGCTAATTATCGGGAGTATTGTCACCTTGCATACCGTGTAAATCAGCGGTAATGATTAGGTGACACAGCACGTTAAGTACTGAGTATTTTTCACGTACCTAGCTCGAATCAGACAGTGTGAGGTCTAAACACTTTATGGCGAACACGGCTCAGGTACCAAATCTTTTTAATCGATCAAAACTTTGATCGATAATCGATAGTTTGACCCATTCCGCAGAAGATCTAACCGCGACGTGTTCACTTTTGCACGTCTTCAGCTCATAATTATAATGAGTCAGNCACTCTGCAAGTTCACTGAAAGTCTTCATTTGCAATTTTTGTTTATCCTCCAACGCCTCGCTTTCATGACTAGGCACCAGTTTTTTCCCGCGTGTCCGCCATTTGTGAATACGGTGTATTGTCACCTTGCATACCGTGTAAATCAGCGGTAATGATTAGGTGACACAGCACGTTAAGTACTGAGTATTTTTCACGTACCTAGCTCGAATCAGACAGTGTGAAGTCTAAACACTTTATGGCGAACACGGCTCAGGTACCAAATCTTTTTAATCGATCAAAACTTTGATCGATAATCTATAGTTTGACCCATTCCGCAGAAGATCTAACCGCGACGTGTTCACTTTTGCACGTCTTCAGCTCATAATTATAATGAGTCAGTTAAATACTGGTTCGTACACGATAGGCGTTGTTGGGGGTAAACGGTATAATTCTGGTTCCGCTAGAATGTTCTTCAGAAGTTTTTTTCCGTGTTTTAACCAAGGGTTCAATCTGCGATGAAGGGCAAAGTCGAAAAAGATCCACGTATACAGTGATTTCACTGTAGAGGTGGCGAATATTAGTTATATTTTACAAATAATTTGACGGAATTGTTAAATGACCCACAAATACCGATACAGGTACACTGCACTGAAAGTAGGTCAGTACGATAGTAAAGGCTTTGCTACAAAATTCTAGAACGTTACTGGAGTAAGTGATAGAACATACAAATAGCACACTTAATTCTCTTTCCCCCTCTATTTCCGCTAGCGGAAGCCCTTTCTTGCAGGACATCTGTACAAGTCTTTACGTTTGCTCGTTAACAAACTATAAAAAAGAAAAACTGTGTGTTGTTTTAAACTAGCTGTGGATATAACATTCCCACTGATAGACGGTGGATTTGATATCGCCATCCATTTCGTAGTGAATGCATGTCCTTCGATCATATTATGACATACGTGTTCAGTACGAAGACCTAAGTTTCTAAAGTTTAGAGTATTCTAGAAAATAAACTGTTCGAAATGCGTCATATTTAGAGGAGTTCTTTTAACAAATGGTGCTGTAATACAGATCAGCGAAAAAATGCTTGTTACTTAGGTCGACTTCGTTTACCTACTCTCGCGCGATAAATTTTTACACAAGTGTCAATGCAATATAGTCAATTCAATTTTCATTTACTACAACTGAAGTGTGTCTCAGTAACTGAATCGCGTACTTTGGTTGACGGAAGCGTTCTCGGCCTAGTTTCCAGTGTAACGGATTTATACATTTATTTGGCATTGTTTTTGTAAGTGTGGTCACCAGTATGGTTGGCTCCTCATATAATGGTCTGCAATTGATATATTATTTAATGGAGCCGAAACCAGTTGTGGAATTGGAGGCAATTTAGGCGGGCATCCTACTGATGAACGGTTGCAACATCAGTGCAGTTAGATATTTGCAGTAGTAGCAAGGGCGGACACCTTCCAAGGTAGGTTGTACCTTACTTGATTCGTCTGATTTTTGACAAAAACTTCTGAAGGCAAGTAGTTGGTTACTGTGGGAGACATGAAACGAATAGAGGGGGCGTGTAAATGGAGGGACACGCCTCTTCAAATCGTGCCGCTAATGTCCATTTCTGTAGGAATGATGCCGACTCTGGAGTAGAACTGAACAAAGACCAATTAATGACAAACTAATTGATTCACCCATTTAGACACTTTAGTCAAGTAACCGGAACAAAACGCTTCCTTTACCAACTGTGAGTTACGCCAACGCTAATAAAAATAGAACACTGCGAGCTAGACTTGCTTTAAGTCCTTCGCTTCTCATTTCCGGTTCCGGTAGTTGGCGCCAGCGCAATAGCCTGCAAAAACAGCCGTTTCTCCTCGCTCCTCGCCGCTGAGGACGTTTCGCGAGGAATAACGTCTGCGACACAGCGACAGAAATTCCA